TGAAAGTGATTCCTCTGGGAGCTTTGTCAAATCCCCCAAAAGGAGTGGCGACTCTGTAAACGACATCAAGTGTGAACTCGTTGCTGCGCTCTATACTAATTCAGTCAAATATGCTTGTAGTTTTCTCACCGGTTAAAGCTTTTGAACTCGGGAAGGTCTTGTTTTGGGTCTGGTGCTGAAGTTTCCAGTTTAAGAGTTTCGGCGAGGCTGGGGTCCATGAGGATGGCCTGGTCCCATGGGGAGTGGTAGGACTTATGCATAGCTGTGGTGCTTGAATTCTCTGCAGACATGTCTTAAAGGAGACAAAACCACAGAGGCACCATGAGTTCATATTGGGGAAGATTGTCCCAGCATTGAAACAGTTGACATTTTGGGATGCAGTTTACGGGTTAATGCTGAGCGCTTTTGTTTCGCCTCAAATGGGAGGAGGCTAAAGATTTGGAGTGGGAAGGATTATGAATAGAGACTGTGCTTAGAGAACACTAAGACGGACTGAGTTGTCTGTCATTGAGATCTGAGGCCTTAAAATAGCACATAGTCGAAGTGTGCACTCATCATATAATATGTCGACATGGGATGAAACCCTACTGGAGCCTTTTAGAATAAGCATAGGACTGTTGGCTTGTCTAAATATAATACAATTAAAACAAAGCGTTTAAAACGTCCCAGAGTGTTTAATGAATCAAAGTTACATATTTGCAGTGAGTTGCTTTAGAGTTAGACCAGCGATATCAGTTTTCATTATTATGACAGCATTACAGAATCAGTCACTGTTATTTTACTGTGAAGTATTGGCAGTTTTTTGTATAGATTGACAGTAGAAGAAATAATACATATACATTACGATTCTTTTGTAAACAGCATATTTACCTGAAACAGTGATTTCTGGTGTAGCAGCGTTGCCATCACCGGGTGGGTCCACTTTAATTTCCACAATGTGAGCATTCTGAGCTAAAATATCATTCTGCAAAACAGACAAATTAAAGTAAAGTACAGAATATGTAATAAGTTTCAGGTAACAATTAACACTTGGCACAACTGTAGCTGCTATCTTCAGAGCATTTAGATACACACAAAAACACGCACACACACACAATACCAAAAACACTTCATGTGTCTCAAGGGAAGTTTCAGTGCTATTGCTGGAGCCGAGGTAGGATCAGAGAACATCTAAAAACAGTAAGACTGTACCATCCTTCCTGCACACCATCCTGCACACGGTCCGCATTTACTGTATACCGTATACGTAATAGTGCTGAATATATCAGGACCTGTAGGAAAATATTAGTAAAGCTGTATTTGTCACAGTGTTAAACCGAAATAGCAGATGTGCCTTTTTAATATTTTCTCAAACATATGTCATTATTGGTGTCAAAATTACACTCTGTATAGTAAGTCATCAAGAGTGAATTTAATTACTCTATTTTACACAGGCTGGCCCACACACACACACACACACACACACACACACACACACACACACACACACGCAGAAACACATCAACAGACACTGATAAAGAGGGGAGCAGCTCCTCAGCAAAGTGCCTGTGCAGCCTCTCAGAAGATGTGTCTGGACGATGTAAAAGGCACACGTCTCTTTTTATCCATGTGACACTTTTTTCAAGAGCATATTTCCTAGTGCATTTACTTAATCAGTACAATAATAAACAGATAATGTTACACATGTCTGTGCTTGCAGACTAAACTCTAGATAAACACAAAAAAGTCAGATTGTAAGCGTTCATTTAATCCAGTCATTATTAATTGACTTAATAACACATATAGGTTGACTTACATTCAGCAGTGTGTTTGCCTCATTTTGGATACTTTCAAATGTATATTTTTCAGATCTTCTCTGGCGCATTTTGAAAAGCCGGGACCCTCTGTTGGAAAGTAATGACAACTCCTCCAACATAATGTCTTTAGGGGTGCTGAGCTTCTTTCCCAGATCCATAACGTCACCTGTGGACCAACAATATATAAAGATGAAGAGGAAGATAACAATCTTTAAAACCCACATTTAGTAGACAATCCTTAATCAATTATTTTGCAATCACCATAATAGTGAGCAAACAGTTTTTTCAAAAACTAAAACGTGGACTTGTGCCAACACATATTATTAAGTCAAGGGAAATTGTATACAAACAATAACCAAGCAAATGATTTGCCATTGATATTATTGGGCCATTTATGGGCAAAAGTGGCTCGGGGAATTATTATTATTTGATTAATTGCACATTTGTTTGGCAAAAAATGTGTTTGGCATCATAAAAAGCATAATTGAGACTGAATTAGGGAATATATTTCACATTATCCTAAGGGTGTCTAGTAGTCAGATCCTGGGTCAGATAGATACCGTTTAGGGGTTAAAACTATATTAACATTGGGCATATGTTGAAATGAACTTTATATGACTTGATCATCACAAACTAACTTGAAAAAGGGGCGGGGGATAATGGCAGGTGTTGGAATAGTGGGCAAATCCGACCTGGTTTTACACTTGGAAATTGCTTCAGACACTAGACAAATATAGGCACAGAAATATGCCCTGATATCATTTTGTAAGCTGAATAGGTTTGAGGAAGGGTCCATGGATGACAACAAATCTGTCAAAAAATTCAAATGTTCCATGATGTAAGCCCTGTCATGGAATATGTGTTATCATTGTACTTGAGAATTAGTTTTGGATGGACATAATGCTTCCTCCTCCACCACACCGACGGTATGTACCGCAGCTGTCACAAACCTTCACGTCATCCAAATGGCCACACACAGTTGGCCCTCACAACTTCCCTCCCCTCTCCACAAATAGACTTTTGAAAAGGACATTGACAAAGGATTAGCCGGCATAGGTAGTAAATCATCTCATTAGCTTATTTATGGCAATTGCTGGAGTGTAGCTCTGACATTTGAACCCAGATCATATTCTCATTCAGTCTGTTTTTGCCCGCTGAGCCTCAAGTCGAACATTGATCATACCATTGGTACCATGGACCTCTCGGCAAATAGCTGCTGCGCGCTTCTTCCTCTCTCCAGTTGGCATTGTACAGAATTGTGACATTTTGGCTTTGGCAAGGTTGGCAGAAGTGCTGGAAATACATACAGGACACAGGATGTAGTTGTTCTGCCCGAGTCATAAAGAAGGAGTTTTAATCCAAACACTACGATCCCCCAAAACATCGATGCAGCACTAGCCCTTACAAACAGCTAAACACAGAGATTACTGTTTATTTATTACGTTTAAAGTGATCTTTTATCAGATGTCATAGAAAGAAAACGGAATCAGTAATGGTGACTTTTAAAACTCATATCACACAGAGTTATATCTCAGTTGTTTCCTTTTACATAACTAGCATAATACACAGCCTTTTATAAAGTTCTCCCATTGGCTGTCAGCATTTATTGAAATGGAAAGATTAATGGAAAGCACCCAGGTGATGAAAAATATGCCATATCAGTGTCTCTCCTACGAATGTACGAATAATCTCTCTGTAGCGGTAGCATTTATTAAATTACCATGCATTGCATAATCCTAGACCCTATTGTTCTGAGGACCACAAACGTCATTCCTAAATCTGGCCTCGTCAGTAGACAAGTATCTGTATACGTTAACAAATGTTAGTGGTATCCCCCTCTATTGCTGTCACATAAATCACCTGTATAAAGGTCAAGGGTGACTAATATGCCCTGGGTTTATGTGTAACCGAACAAATGTCCAGCAAGAGACATCAAACACATAAAATCCAAAATAACTTTCCTGCATTACAGTGACTGGTTCAATCATATTATTTTAGCTTTTCTCTGTTGGCAAATGCTGAACATGATGCTACAACACTAAATGTTTAATGTTTAATATCTGAATTATGCCCATCTGCTGTCTTTGTGTCATTAAAACTAGTTTTATAGATGCGAAGTTAAGAAATAGCAAAGCAATTGAATGCTAAAGATAGAACACATTTCTATTAAAATATTATGCTTCACCAAATGATGATAAGAAAGTGACTCCCATAATTCATTTAAAAACCAAGCCACATTTATTTTTACCCACAAACAATGACTTCTCAAATTGTCTTCAACCGAACTTCAAAATAATTTAAATATACCAAAAAATACCCCCTGACGAAGCGTTGTATCCGTACCTGTGCTGGGATCCCTAGTGTGCCACCTGTATCCTTGAAGGGGAGACACGGAATCAGGGGTCAACCTCCAGGAGGTAGTTTGATCTTCCCTGATCTTCACACTCCCGGACACTAAAGCCAAACTGTGAGTGTGTCCCTGTGTCTGTTGTGAATGGAATGCAGCTTACATCAATAGGCTAAATTTAACTTGCCAAACACTCAAAACCACTCTCTAACACCATGGGGCAAGGATAGCTACCAGAGGGAGAGAAAGAGAGAGAGGGGAGAGGATGGACAACACATGCCCACTGATGTACTCCGAGGCGAGGACTCCCCTCGAGAAACACATTTCCTTCCTCGTGTAAAATCTTCAAAGTTAATGTGTCTCCGTGGGTGAAAATAACCTCTGAGGGATTCTAACCTCCAAATCATGGAGGTCTTTATTGCTGGGCACAGCTGCTAGGTGTGGACGCCTCGCTTTAAACTGAGTTTTGTTACAGCTATTATGTGTGATCACTGACATTGGATAATGATATACAGACCAGTGAGGCGGGGATTAGAGGCGGAGTGGGGTCTCATCCCCGAAAGGGTGATCAGCCATTAAGATTTTTATGCAGCAGCATCAAGGACATTACCCTGGCAGCAAAACCTGTTGTACTCCTCCCTTTAAATAACCAGTGAAAATATAATGTTGATACATGAGAGAAGTTCCTGATCTAATCCTTGATAAGGAAGTTTACAAACCAGTATTACCCTAATGTTTGATTTATGTTTTTATATTTTGTATTTAAAAAAGGACAGAGTCAGAGATTTAATTAAATTCCCTCTTCACCAAAAATGATGCTTACTCCATGCCACAAATAACACTTCAAACATTGAAAGCATTTTCAAGTATTTTAATTTGTCAGTTTGTGTTTTAAAGGTTCAAAAACATAACATAACTTATAACACACGTGTAAAGCTCATTCCATAATTAGGATAAAACCATGGCTGAGTCAGACATTTTGAAAACCCTGACACTCAATTAATTCATCTGCAGTTCTACATCTTAAACACCATGCAGTGTGTAATCAACACGTCATGAATGTATGCATGCAACATTAACTCCTCTCTTGCATTCTCTCACACTGAGGTCATCACTATGAATGAGCCCCATGTTAACTTATTGCAAGTTTTTGTAAATATGCAGTGTGGCTTCCTTGTAGCAGAGAGAGATATTGTATGTTATTACTCAAAGTGCTGCATATTAATAGAAATGTTCACTCTTTTAATATTATTGCAACTATTAAATCTGCAGTGCGAGAAAAGACAGAAAAACAAGATAAGTAACATAATTGTTATCGCTGTGTGAAATATTGAGATGTGCTAAAGTGATCACAAAGCCACAGTGAGTTTTTAGGTTAAGATATGTAACTTAAAAAAAACACATTTTGATTTCTTAAAGTTCCTTATTTCTTACTAAATATTTGTAATATCAGTGAGCAACAAAACAAAACAAAAAAGCATCTACCAAACACTCCTTTCTTCACGTTCACTTCCGCTCTCTAAATACTTTTCTTGACTGCAACCATCCTAAATGAGTCTGAATTGAAACAAGATTCTAAAATGATCAATTAGACACAATAACGACATTTCCCATCAATGGTAATATCTCATCAGCATCACAACACAATATACAGTAAGTAAGTTGTTGTGCTCTTCAAACCAAGTGACCACTCATAAAGATAGTAGGCCTAATGTTTATCACTTCCTTTAACAATTTAAAACCAACATTATAAATCCTCCAAAATATTCCTCTTACCTGTATAAGTTTGAACTAACACAGGCCAACAACAGCCTTATTTTTCATCACATTCAAGCAAACATATTTAATGTTTTTAGGCCAAGCTAACTATTTTGTCTTCCATGTTCACGATACCATCATGTAATTATGTGATGCATGTTTGACCTCATCTTAGTAACTTCTCTGGGCTGCACTTTTCAAATGGGAGTAGGCTACTTCTCTGGACCTTATCCCATGTATCCGATACTGGCCCTGCTGCCGGGCCTCAGAGGCTGGGCCGGTCTGAAGGGAGGCCCATAGAAGGCTGGTTTCTCAGGTGCAAATGTCCTGCTTATGAACGGTGCCTGAAAAGCTGGGGCCGCATGATAATGACCCATTCCGACAGCTGCGGGATCAAGGGACACCCTGCGCTTCCACTCATCCGGAGGCTCTGGCAGAGATCTGCGGTGCCCTGCAGCTTTGACATTAGAGGCAACAGATGACGGGAGGCTCTGAAACACAAAGGCATCGTCCACTGAACAAGTGGGGCTTCTGGAGGCTGCCTCCCACGGACTCAGTGGCTTGTAGACTTTTTCTTGAAAGGATGTTTGCCTCTGTGTCGGTAAATAAAACGCCTGGATTCCAGGTGTGCTGGCAGGTGACAGAAGTCTGGGAGAAGGCATCGAATTCAGTCGCCTGGGTAGACTCAGGGAGCGGCTTCTTCCAAATCCCTGAAAGAAATGCAGATATTTGACTGGTGGGACAGCAGTGTTGCAGGCTCTGCTGCCACCCTCTGGCTTCATGTTAGCCTGGAAAACTAATAATGTGGTTTGTTTGTTTTATTTGACCTTTTTCTTCTTTAAACTTAGGGGTTGCGCACTGTTGAATGATAGTTTTGCTAAAATAACTTTACAGTTCCGTAGAAACATTTACGAAAGAGGCTCTTAAGATGCAAAAGAATCAACTGATTTCAAGTGCAAAAAAGTCCACTTTTTGTCCCTTTCTTTACCCAATAAGTTGCACATGGAATACATTTATTTGCATCTTTAAAACCTCTTCATATTTCAGTTTTTGCAGTTTTTCTATGAAATGATTGATTTCAATTCAGCTAGCTCTCACATCTAAAACTTTCTTTTGAAAAGTGTTAAAGTCTTGAGCAACATTAGAGATATTAACAAATATTGACAATAAATAAATACTTAAAAACTTACCTGCTGTTGGTTCATTAACAAAACAATTGAAAGACATTGACAAGATTATGAAAGTGTTTTGGAACTTAAAGGGGAAATCTACTTTAAAACACAATTAGCATGTGTCTGCTCAGCCTAAGATCAGCTGTGTGGTTTGGCCATGCCTGTGCAGGGCCTTTATCTACCTAGCAGGACCTGAACTGCAACCTAAACTTTCTCAAAAGCACTGCTGTTTGAATTATCAATATTCAGGGTTTCTTGACACCTAAATAAAGGCTTAGTTTTCTGCAGTTAGGTCTAGTTAGTTAGAACAATGACCACCTCATTATTAGCTGTGAGCACCTATGATCTTCTTCACTAACCACAGGAAATGTTGCAGCCCTGGCAAATCAGCTAAAGAATGAAAAGCCCAGGACTTGAGACGCTCTCCAAGCATAACCCCATCTCAACTGACAGCTAGCCACTTAGTAAATCATTTCTATTTTTGACCTTGTACTCCGAAACATGAATTGTGTAGCATTAGCAAACAAGTATTGATAGCAAGATATCACAGTTTATATGGGCCTGTTTGACTGGTCCTTTTCTTATAAGAAACCATGTTGTGAGTGTTGGCTGTGTGGCATCTTGGTATGTGGAGAGTGTGTTTTGTACTTAAGAACTACACAGAATCCGGCCTGTCTTTAAATGTTAAAAATACTTCATATATATAATTCAATGCATGCAAAAATATTTTCGAATGTGTTATAAGGGTTAATTTTACTTCACTAGACCTCAAAACAGTGGGCAGAAAATCTTTTAAGAGGCAGGATTTTTTCACAAACTTAAAGGCTGATTAAACATTATGTGATTAAAAAGAAGAGCAAAGGTCCAGAAACATCATCTCAGTGATTCAGTGACAGTGTTAATCTGCAGCAATTTATTATTTTATATAAATATAAGCAATGAGTTATTACAAATAGCCAAACTTGTAGTGCATTTTAGAAAAGTTTGCTGAAGGTTTAGTAAATATGAGTAATTTCTGTGTGAAAGGGTGAGGCAGTAAGGAAGATAAAGGTAGAAGAAAAAGTGACTCTGTAGTTCAGGAAAAGTGAAAAGAAACTCATTACACAAACTTCACACGTAAAGGGAAAGACATTTAATTGTGCTGAGGACAAGAAGTGCAATAAACAATGATATTTTTGAAAGACAGAGACATAAACACGTATAAGACAGTTTCATTTTGAGTTGCTACTGACAGTGTGAATAAATAGTCAAATATCTGTGATAACTCATGTTTGACTTCAAGGATGAGGAGAAAGGTAAATAACTGGCCACAACTGCAAGAAAAATACCCAAATAAAAACATTTAAAGTCATCAGGGTTAGTAATCACAACTCAAGTTAACGCTTGTAGCTGTTGTGATGCCGTTAAAGGAATGAGACTGAAGAAATTGCAAGTTGTATGCATCCCAAAAAAGAAGTGCATAGACAGTTTCTCTCCAGATAAACTAAATAATTAAGCATATTCTGTAACTATAATCAATAGTTACTGTTATCTCAGATGTTAGAATTAAGATAAGTATGATTGTAAGTTCAATTAAAAGAATAAAGGTATATTAACACATTATATTGTGTATTTTTGGTGTCAGTGATGACTGATAATGCAAGTCAGGCATGTCATTATTTATGAAGAAAAAACAACTAAAGAAAAACAACTCAAACTAGAAACCTCGGTTGAACAAGGTTCTATTCACACAATATTGCACATATAATAGCACTTCCTGAGATTCACTCAACATAGCCTCACATTTTCTTTTTCAAGCAAATATGCACCTCCCTATTTGAGGAAGATAATATAATGTGCTATATTTTTCATTTATATATTAATCTACTTTATATTGCATAGATGTGCACTTTTTAGCTTTGCTGTTCATTTAACATGTTTGCCTTTCATTTCCAGCTAAATATAACTGTACTGCATACTGTAAGTTATTTTGGATTTGACCAACACTTAGACTAGAGTCTCTACATTTTCACCTGTTAAAGACATTTTGGATGCTACCGAGTTGCAGTTGTTATTATTTTCCTATCGTTTCAGTAAAGCATGACCGTATGAAAACTAATGAAGAGAAGGAACAGACTTCCATTGTTTGCCTGTATTGAAAGGCTTCTTAGCAGAAAACGTTGGGCGAGGTGCCATTTGACGAGCACCTCTAGCAATAAGGGATGCAGGAGAGAAAGCTGAAGCTAAGCTGTCACCCATAGATGAATGCTGAGAGGATGCGCTTGCAGGTCGGGCGCTTGGTGCTTGCTTGGTGGTTATGTGATGGGCTGCAGGAGTGACAGTGGGCTTTTTATTCAAGCGCTTGTCAGATGCAAGAGACTCAGTTGATCTTGTGATTTGGCAGGCAGAAGAATGTTGGGAACTTACCGATACAGGAGACTTTGCAGGGGCTTCGGCCTTGTTTTGAACAACAGAGGCATTATAAGGAGAATAAGAAGGGTCAGATCTTTGTTTAAGGTTTTTGGTAACCTCAAACTTTGAAATTTGAGTTGGTTTGGGGCTTTTGGTATTGACTATCTTTGATTCTTCAGTTGGTTTGGGGCTGGGACTTTTGGCCACAGGGACTGCATTGTACTTGAAAAGTGAAGAGTCCAACTGATAGGGCTGATGTTTCATAATCTCTAAGGGGTTAAGGTGCTTTGGGGCTGCTTTGGGTTTGGGTTTGGTCTTAGGCTGGATTTTGGGGCTTGTGGACGGGGGTTGCTTGGCTGCAGATTGAGGGTGGAAAGGAGAAAGAAGGGGGTTGTATGATGAAGTCGGTGGCGCACGAACAATGGAAGAATACCTCCAGGAGTTAGGGAGTGACGCGTTTGGGGAGGGGGATCTCGCTTTGTTAGCTTGCACCTTTTCACCATCGACAACAAACTTCTCCATACGGGACTGTCTTTTGGCAAACAGCTCCGCCCCTTTTCCCGCCCTGGTTGCACCATCCCCAGCCAAATTAATACCGACTTGACCCTTTGGAGAAGCCTGTGATCCTTTTAACGCAGGAACGTATGACTTTTCTGCTTCTGTTGGGTAAGAGGCCACTGAATTTGGTATACCGACTAAATTATTCCTTGATGGTGAAGGTGGGTGATGTGGGCTATAAGTAGGACTGTGGGCCTGCATACTCACAGAGGACTGTGACGGCTGTTGACTCGAGCTATTTGTGGTTGGCTGAAGATGAAGCTGGGAAGAGGAGTTGATGGGAGCACAGGCATTGGCAGGTGTTTGAAGTTTTGCCTTAGTTTGATCTGGTGCCCAATGGTTGGCCATGTGTTGAGGCTGAGCCCAATCTTGTTGCTGTAAGTAATGCTGACTGTGAGGCCCCATAGGATTGTGAGAAGGTTGTGAAACCGGACTTCTTGGGGGAATATGGGGCTCACCTAAGGGGCTCCTCATCATCCAAGGTGGGCAGGATGGGTTGATGGTAGGTTTGGGCGCAACTGGAGGGGGATTCTTGAGTTTAATTGTTCTGGGTTGCATAAAGTTACACGCTTCAGCACCTAGACTAAAGAAGTCTTCCTCACACTCAATATAAGACTTCCTGTCCCCTTTGTTTTGAAGGCGAGGATCTGATCCCTGCTGCATCACGGATGACTGTTTATTATTGGCTTTCCTTCTAGACTCGGGTAGGATACCAACCTTTATTGCTGGCACAGATATTCGCTCATCTCTTGAGGCTATTATGTCTCCAGTTGGGGACCAAATCTGTGGGTTAGTGTTAATAGGCACACGTACTTTAAATCTCGGTTCATGCTTCCTTGGCACTGGATTAATGCCACCAGGCATGGCAGGAGCAGACGTGCTGATGTGAAATCCAAGGAAAGGCTTCGCAGTTCTGTTTGGCACCAAGGGTTTAGGCACGTTGGATTGGTTGTTCATCTGGTTTTCTTGGTATTCTACATGTTGCTTGCCATCTGCATCCATGTAGTTGGCTTGATCACTATGCATGTACATCTCGTCATCGTCATAAATATTCTGGGCTTCTGTGCGCTCTGGTTCTGCTAATGTCTCCACAGGTAATCCTTTGTTCCTCAGTTCTTCCTCCTCCGACACAAGTTCATCTATCCGTTTACGACGTCGCTCAAACATGGAAACACCCTTTCCTGTCGTTTCTGCTTCCATTTTTCGAGCACTTTCCCAATTCAGATTTAACTTATGCTTCTGGTGATAAACAGAATACTCCTCTTCAAACTCAGATTCACTTGTTGCCACAAAGTTATACCCTGCTGCTCCGACGTCTTCAGTTTCCTCCTCTATTTGGTCTTTGCTATCAAGCTTGATCTCTCCAGTCCCGTAACTCACTAGTGTATACTTTTTAACCCTCTGGCGACGTTTTTTAAACAGCAAGGCTCCCTTGTTTTGAGGGTTGGGCGCATCTGTTAGCAGCCGGGCAATTCGCTTACATTTGGACTTGGTCTCCTTGACGTTTCTTTCTGATTGGCTGTCGTGACTGAGCCCTGAGACAAAGAAAGAGAGAGGGACAGTGAGAGGAAAACAAAGGTTCATAAGATAAAAACACATTTTATATTGATATGTTTGTGTAATGAAGATGAAACCATTATTATTATTAACTTTTGGTTTGTGTGGTTTTTTATAATTATGAATTTAATAAATGTTTCCCCTGCTTAAGCAAGCATACTAAAAAAAGCATCATATTTACTTACAGCCAACTTAGGGGTTCCATGAGGCAAAAAAAGTAAGGAGCTCATTTTCCATTGCCGTCAGTGATACGACTGAAAAGGAGTCAGGTAACAGGCCGGGGTGACACATGCTGGTGTCAGTCAAATGTGTTTCTGCCGGCCTCATCATATGGTCATATTTTATTATTATCCTGCTCTGACTATTAAAGCCATGGGAATTCTCCCTTTAAGTCCACCTCAAATAGACCCCACATTACAGCATGAAAATAAATAGCACCCACAGTGCTTTGCAGAAGTTATTTATCCATTAAATGTACTCATATAACACCAATAAAACCCACAAGCTTAAATGTAATTTAGGATTCTTATCAAAATACAATTCATGCTTTTTGTAAGCAAACACAAAATGATATATTATGTTTTAATAATTTACAAGCCATTCAAATAAAAGCAACACAAAAAACATTTGATATTTGCTGGGCAGTTGGCAACACTAGCTTCCTGTGTCTACTGAAACCTATGAGTGTTGAAGAAAGATACTTACGTGTGGACCTTGCCCTGTGCCTCTGCGGTCTGCACGGATCTGTGTCAGAGTCTGAGTTCCACTTCTTTGCATGCTCTGCAGCCTCAGCTGAAATTCCAAAAAAGACAGAAGCAGGAGGTGCTTCACTGCTCCCTCCTTCCTCTGAGGATTCAACCCTCCTGTTCCCAGTCCCTGGACGCTGCCTATTACTGGCTCCCAGGGGGCGCCCTGTGGTCAGGGTCAAGGCCGGGGTCACATCAGCTGCAACGCCAACAGAGGACAAAGATAAGCGGGAATGCGGCCGTGATATCTGGCCAGCGAAATACTCTGAGTCGGAGCATTCTGGTTGCGGGGAAAGTGATGTTGGTGAATGTTGCATGTGAGGAGACTCTGTAATGGACTCTCTTGATTCACGGTAGCTGTCATCCTCTTCTTGGTATTGAACATCCTCTTTACTTCCACTATGTTCAGGCAGGGACTGTTGCTCCCCCGCAGATTCCCATTCCTGTGACTGAAGTTGTTCTGGGGACTCAGGATCAGACCTCTCGATGTGAGCAGGCAGAGGGTCTAAAGGGTAATCTGCATCACTCACATCATCTTCATTGTAAGACTCACAAGGTTCCTGGGAACCATCTGAACCGGACCATGGGACCAAGTTACCATGGCTGCCTCGGTCTTCAATTTCTGGGTCCATATCTACAGCTGTTTCACAATGTCCTGGGTATCACCAACAACACCTTGAATAAGACAAAAAACAAACAGTCAAATGAGCCTTTTAATATCATTAGAATTTTTGGCACACTATTTGTACATGTTATGTACATAAAAGACCCCTAAAAATAATCTCCACCTGGAGTAACTTGGGTGTTAACACTTGATTTAAGGATTCGCCAGAGTAACCACTTTCAAGGTTGCAGAAATAATCAAATTCCTACAAACATATCTATAAACTCCTTTTCCTATAAGTGTTTACAGTTCATATCCAGAGATGTCAACATCAGTCCACTGTTATATCTCGAACTACTATGCATTTGCCTGATTATTCCTATCCCCAATAGGAAGTGCAGCTTTTCTTTGGCAGTCGCATCAGGACTGCCATCGCTCTAAATGGAATGGTATGTAATATCAAGGGGGAAGCGCATCCAAGAGGATAAGCAAAACAAATTTGGTGGCTGTTTTCCGAACTCCTGTTTATACAGGGAGGTTTCGTTCCCTCGGCTGTTCTCATCTATTATTGCAACAAACATCAGCACTGCAATCAGCATCTCCATTTAAGAACTGAATCTGAAAGACTATTTGTTTTATACATAGTAGAAATACTAGGCCTCCTTCTCGTCGCTGAGAGTCTGTGTTTGTTTTGGTCCTGAAGTTAAATTATATCACTGCTTCATCAAACAAAATTGATACTAAATTATCCCAAACTGTTTTCTAGTTATCAGTTATTTAATCACATTATTGAATATCAATATTTTTAAATGATCCAGTGCAAATTGACAATGTATTTTTCCATCTAAACCCAAACCTTTTTTGATTAGTATATGGATAGTAGGCTAATATAAAATGGTGTATTCACAACCCAGCATGATGCTATCAAATTAAATAATCACAACTTGTTAGTAAAATGTGTTAGTTCTTACATCATTTTAAGATTAGGGTTTATAACAAAAGGAAGTTTTAGCAGTTTGATGCTATTTGAATAACTGCAGGATATACAAAACATGTACTGTTGTTGCAATCCCAAGCCTTATATTTAAAACATAACATTTCCCGACATCCACCAGGAGGTAGCGCCATAACCCTGCAGCCTGTGACCTAAACTAATTCCACTTCTGATCACCAGTTTAAAAAAAAAAGCCATGTTAAGAGTAAGAAACTCCACAATCACAGACAAAACACATTCACCACTTTACAAGCTGTAATTATATTTGTAATTATTAAGTGTTTACAACAAAATCCTTAATATCAGCTGTGTAAAAAACAGAATGATGTGTGAGACGTTAATAATGGTTAACATCAGTGTTCAAGGAAGTAGATCCTTTACCTTTACAAATACTATGGTGATAAAATACTCTGCTACAATAATATTCCAGATTTAGAAAATGTTACTTAACCCTCCTATTGTTCCCCCCCCCCTACTTTGGTGTTCGCGGTCAAATTTGACCGGTCCTGTTTTAACACAAAAACCATTAATCATTACCAAATTTCATTTAACACCCTTTGAAACTGTAAATATTGTATCAGACTACTGATATACATGAACAACTGCAGTAAATATACAAAGAATAGACACTGAACATATATTGCGTTTGCCAGGTGTGATCCATGTGGGCATATACTGTAAGAGCAGGAAATGTGTCAAATTGTTCTGTGTGTGTGTGTATGTGTATGTGTATGTGTGTGTGTGTGTGCCAGCCTGTGTAAAATAGAGTAATTCACTCTTGATGACTTACTATACAGAGTGTGATTTTGACACCAATAATGACATACGTTTGAGAAAATATTAAACTGGCACATCTGCTATTTTGGTTTAACACTATTTTTGACAGGGAACACCATGGGTGTTACAAGGTTGACTAAAATCCTCCAAAATTCAATGAAAGTGGTGATCAGCCATTTTGTATGTTCAAATGTCTACTGTGAACGATATCATAAAGCCTTAATGCAATCGAATGTAAAACAAAAAAGTTATGATTGATGAAAGTAGTAAATCGGTCAGATTTTACCCGAAGACAACAGGAGGGTTAAAGGGGACCTATCATGCAAAATGCTCTTTTCGATGTCTTTTATACATAAATATGACTCCCCGGTGTGTCAGGGAACTCACGCAGCGTCAGAAAATAAAACCCTTTCTCTTTTCCTCCTTACCCAAATCTTTTAAAAACGGGGGTACAACCATTGATACAACGAGCGGATAAAGATTTGCTGCCGACATGATGTCAAATCGGCAGCGGACCCACAGAAAGTTGCTATCAGAAACAATGTAATCTCGTCTTTGTTTACATTAGGAAGCCTCGCTAACACTGTTTCAGAAATAATCTTTGATGTGGTTTAGAACAGGGTGGCGTTTTATCACAGCAGAATTTAACTTTATCTCCGGTAGAATTATGATCAGGCATTTGCTCCGCCTCCTAAAATCCACGTTTCTCTAACAGGGCTGCAAAAGAGGGGTATGAGCAGTAAGAGGCATGGCTACAATGGGTGGTCCGTTTGGTATTTTAAGCAAAAAACTTCACAGACATGTTTTGTATAGGTATGGCCCTACAATATATTTTTCCAATATAGCATAATAGGTCCACTTTAAATGCAAGTAGTAAAGTATTAGCATCAACATACACTTCAAGTAAAAGTGCTCATCATGCACAATGGCCTGTTATAAAAAAAAAATTATATAAAGTACAGAAGTTGTATCAGTTAAATGAATTTCAGTATTCGTTATTTCAGTACTCGTCATGCAGAATTGATATTTTCCCAGTATTATATTATTATGGTTATTATATTGTCCTGTTTTTGTTCATGTAAGAGCATTTTAGTATTGAAGTTGGTCAAGTGGACAATATTTGGATACTTTAAATACTGTGTAGATTAGTAGTACAGTACTGCCTTATACTATGTCATGTGTTTTTCTATACAAAGTACCGTGAGTGCTAAAATAAATGTAGTGGATTAAAAAGCTAAATATTTGCCCTCTGAAATGTAGAGGAGTAGAAGTACAAAGCAATAAATAGAAATACTCAAGTCAAATACGTCAACTTAAGTACCGTACAATACTTGAGTAAATACACTCAGTACATTTCCACAAGTGGTTATAATTTACATGTGCATTAGCTCTTTTTTTAGCAGCTGACCCGTTTTGAGGGCAATAATGTGGAATAGTGTTACAAAACACTACACGGTTCCAAACATATTATAGCTGTTGCTCAGAACAGACAATAATAACACAAAGCAATATTGGAGGATAAATAAATTAAGACAGGAGCAGCGTTGCACACATACAGTTCATGCACAAATATTTTGACTTGCAGAATGTGGCATGGTTGTGTGTGGAACAATTTCACTGGTTTAAAAGTTGTTGAAGCCTCAGATATATTACATTTGACCAATTTGCATTTTTACTATATAACTATAAAGAGGCTCAATGCAGCTCAAGGATTAATTAAGTTAAAGTCCCTTACACACTTATGGCCCACGCTTCCCTTCACAGTTGGTTCCACTTCATTTTAACAATCAACCATCATCAAGCCTAACTTTGGTGCTGCAGAGGTTTCCGTTTCCTAGTATGGCAGTATCTTCAGTATGATGACTCATTGCCATGGAAACAGGGAGTCAGTATGCCTGACAAACGAGTGACCTCTTGGTCTGTGGGATGACCCCTGCGAGGATTGAGCCCGAGCGGATTAGATGTTTTTCCACACAATTAGACTGCCTTGTTTCAACCACTAATGACTAACATGAATCATTTTTAAACAGCCTCCTTTAGTATGCATGTAGAGAGCCTTACGACTGTACATAATGAACTGAATATAAGTAGTGGTAGAAGTACTCAGATCTTGTAGAAGTACCAGAGTGGAGGAATACTCTGTTACAAGTCAAAGTCCTGCATTCAAAAGCATACTTAAGTAGAAAGTATTAGCAACAAAATATACTTCAAGTACCAAAACTAAATGATGCAGATTGGCACATTTCAGAATAATATATGCTATATATATAGATTGATTGATTGATTGATCATAATTAATGCATTATTGTGTTTATCAAAGCTGGTAACGGTGCAGCTAGTTTTAAATACTTTGTTAACGTCCAGGGTAGCTTGTGAATGTTAGTCAAGGTGTAACAAAAGTATATTTTAAGTGTTCTTTATATTTTCGATCATTAATCCAAATCTGCAAAGAAATTAAAAAAGGTACTAAATAAATGTAGTGGAGTAAAAGTACATTATTAAAACCAATACATGTTTAAAACAGTACGCACAGAAAAGTATTTTGATTAAATTATATTTAAACTCTTATTACAGCCAGTATTTAGCCTGCTACTTTATCACTATACATAGCTGTATCCATCAGAGCCTAAAGCAGACTTTGAGAAAATCTCAATAGTAAAAGGAACAATGGTAGGATGGACGTAACTAACAGATATGGCTTATGGTAAAAGAAAGACACCATTAAAAGATCGAAGGATTTTCTAAAAAAGGAATAACTTGCCAAACATCATCCTTTACTTACAGTTTGAAGCACCTGCAAAATACAAATTGTTTGTCCAAAAAAAGGCCTTGAGTGGATATCCAGCGCTGTAGACTTTACATCCTGATAGTGTCAGAGCTTGAACGCAGTGTAGACCCTCTGAGCACTTGTCGTGGACTGCAGAGGTTCGGGTTCAGTTCCTGACACCTTGCTCATCCATGTATGCCAAAGCATTTAAAGACAAAGAAGAAAAGGTATCCCTGCCCCCAACCCCGTTCTGTCAGTGTCAGGCAGCTGCAACAAGCTGACATAATGAACTTATAAAACAGTCAAGATATTTTTTATGTCAGATGAAATGGTATCAGTATAGGTGATTGGCATTTATATTTGTCACGATTCTTGTGTTGTGTCACGTTTTTAGTTTTGTGTGTCTGGTAGTGGGTGTTTTTCTGTTCTCCTTGTCATGTTTTCCTCCCTTTGTATTG